AAAATAGCATAGATTAAAGAGAAACATATCTGACTGAGATCAGAATTCTCAAATGCAAAAGTGGCTGTTAAAAAATCATGCCCAAAAAATAATTTTGCACTTGGAATTTAATGTGCATTCAATCCATTATTCATATCTTAGAGAAAAGTAAAGACATTTTCAGAAATATCATGCAATTTTAATTGCAACTTTTTCCAAAAGAGAAAAAAAAATTAAAGATACATACTAAGAGAACAAAAATAATAGAAATGTTTAAAAGGAGTATCCTATGATAAATTTCAACTGCATTGTGTCCCAAAGGAGAAAAAGTATTTTAAATACACACTAAGAAAACAAAAACAATAGAAATGTTTTAAAAAGAATATCATATTCTTTGAACTACATGATTTGTATGCAAAGGAAGGCAGGAAAATACATAATTACATCAAAGCAAATGTTGATAACCTATTTGTGATTTTATGATTTTTGGGTGAAGGCATTTGGTGGATTTCTACTTCCAGTAGTCAGAAACTAGATTATTTGAGGTTGATGCTTTTGCCAAGAAAAATAAAAGTAGGAATAATGGAAAGAATATTTAAAACATATGTTTAAGGCATTGGAGAACTAACAAATTAGCAAAGATAGAAAAATCAAGATCCCATAACATAATGAAGATTTAAGAGCGATGAAGCTGCCTTTGGTGCTGCTTTACCCTGCCATGCACTTTATATTTTCTAATTTAGAAGAGCGCTCAGAAAGACTGATACTGTGAGAAAAGCTTTAGTAGTATCATGAGATTGAACAGGATGAAGCATCAGAGTTCAGAGTTTGTCATGGAACAGAGGAAATGTATCACCAAGATAGTACCCATGAAGTAAAGATTTTTTTTTTTTTTTAAAAAAAGGCCTTTACAAATTATATAGCCTAGTTTAGAAATAGCTCTATTGTTAATGAAAATAAGGTGATGTGCTCTTGCTTAACTGCCTAACAGAACCAAAGTAAAACATTTATGATAGGTAGCATTACTGATAGCCTCAAGGTTTCCTAACAAGATTTCCTTCATAATGCACAGCATTGAAATTGTTTTAAGTATGAAAAAATAATAATTACCGAAATAAACAAGCAAAGTAAAAGAAAATTAAAATATTCAACAAAGAACCAGGCAATGGGATTATAGAATGATTATAACTATTGCATACAATAAACTGGATGAAAAGATATTAGCCATGAACTTGAAAATAATAATGATCATTTGGAAATTTTGTTTTTAAAAATTGCATTAATTCAAAATAAGTATTCAATAGGTGAGATAACAGCAAATAATACCCAGTTGAAAAGATAATAAACAAACTGAAAGATTAATTAGAAGAAGATATCCACAATGAAGCATAGAAAAATAAGTTGATGGAAAATACTTTAAAAAATAGAAAATGTGAAAAATAGTTAAAAGTTATAGATATAATTTGATCATATGAAGAGAGGAGTTACAATGCAGGTCAAAGCTATATTTAAAAGATAAAGATTACAAAACGGAGCTGAAGATTACAAAACCAAATCAAAAATCCAAAAATTTAAAACAGGATCTTTTAAAAAAGAGATCCACACAGAAACGTCAAAGTAAATCTACTAAAAAACAAAAATAAAAAGAGAATCCTTAAAGCACTTCAAGAGAGGAAATTATCTTCAAAGGAGCCATAATAAGGCTAACAGTAAATATCTCAAAAGAAACTCTAGAATCAAGGAGACAATAATACGCTATTTCTAGAAATATAGTAGAACATATAAATTGCCAACATGGATTTCTATACTCACTAATAATATCTTCTTAAATTAAAGGATTAAAAAGACGTTGCAAAGAACAAAAGCAGAGAGAAGTTGTTACCAATAGATTTGCTATAACAGAAATACTAGAAGGGATTGTTCAAGAAAAGTAACATAAGTCAAGATAGAAGCATGATTATGCAGATAAAGAACATATTTGTTCTTATATGTGTTTATAAATAAAGAACATATTGTATTATGTCTACAAAAATATTATAAAATGAATACAGTGATGTATAAATGGGATAATATACAAAATGAATACAGTGATGTATAAATGGGAAAAAGCCCTTGACACTAAGGACATAAACAAACTGTCACCACTACTGCTGTGCTACCTCAAACTTCTACAGTCCAAGCCACTGAGGTACCCACAGTCATTGCTGAGATTGAACTCAGCCAAAGAACCTGCACAGAGACTATACTACACCTATCCGGAAAGAGAGTCACTACACTATTCCCAACTGACACACTAAAACCCAACTGCAGGTGATAGCTGTCCTCTAAAGAAACCACTCTAGAAAGTTTGGAGGTAAGTGTTCCACCAGATGCACAGGCAACGATATGGAGACACAAGAAACATGAAAAGGCAAAGAAATATGATACTACCAAAGGAATGGAGCACTGTAGTAACGACTCCAATAAAAAGAAAATCAACAAATTGCCAAAAAAAAATTCAGAATAATGATCCTGAGAAAACTCAATAAAATACAAGAAAATACAACATAGGCAATTCAATAAAATCAGGAAAACAATTTATGAAACAAACAAGAACTTCAACAAAAGATATAAATCATAAAAAATAATCAAATAGAATTCCTGTAGCTGAAGAATTCAATAAGATTTTAAATTACAACAGAGAGCTTCGACAGCAAACTTGGTCAAGCAGAAGAAAAAAATCTGTTGACAGGTTATCTGAAATTAGAGAAAAAAGAAGGATGAAAAAAAGTAAAGAAATAATGGTGTCCCTAACGGGGCACACACACTGTGGCACCATGACTATCGTGCTACCACAGACTTCTACAGTCTAATCGGACACCATTAAGTGGAAAGATATTTATATTATGAGAATTCTAGAAGGAAAAGAGAAAGAAAAGGGCAAAGAAAACTTATTTAATAAAATAATAGCTGAAAACTTTCCAAATGTGAAGAGATATGTGGATATCCAGATCCGAAAAGCTTAAAATTCCCCAGGTAAATTCAACCCAAGAAGATCCTCCGGGAGGCATTAAAATGTCAAATTGTCAAAAGTCAAAGACAGTCTCTAGGCCTTTAGGCTATTTGGCATGAAGAAATAGTGAAAATAGTGGAAAAAATGTATCCAATTCCTCAACACTTTTCAGAAGTAATGTCCTCAGGGAACAGCTGAGTTTCTGTTTCAAAAGGAAGAGAAACAGAACATCAGAAGTAGTTTAAGGCCAAAAATAATACCACTGCTTGTAAAAAGTTTATTCGACAAGTCACAGTGAAATAATCTCGGGAACAGGAAAGGGGTAGATACAGTGACAGATTAGGAGATATACAATTACATGATATTATGACCCTCACAGAACTAGAATTTTTATGTTTTAAAAAAATGTAATTCCATAATGCCAGAGCACCTCCTATAATCAAAGCACTGTACTAGGTGAACTGAAGGATAAAGTTGACTTAAATATCACTGTAATATCAATCCATAAAATAACAGAAGAGAGAAAACACAAAACCAAAAAAGAAAAGAAAAATTGCCTGTTATAATAGTGGCAGAACCTGATATGAAAACACAAAAGACACAAAGAGTCTATCAGACTGAGTCCTGTGAAAGATCACTGAGAAGTATAGGAGAAGTGAGAACGTGTGAAACAGAGTGGAAATGAGAGAGAGTTATTTCATATGGAGGACTTTTGATTATCAAAGACAGGATGTGTGTTCGGGAGTCGTGAAGTACAATGCAAGTATAAAAGGCTGATTGGATACTGAGTGAAGGACTTTGGCAACAAGGGGGTTTGTAAAGTCTGCAGCATACAACGGAGAATGTAGGGGTTATGGGAAGGAATTTTCAGCAGAAATTGAGTAGAATCAGACTTGATCTGGGAAGGTGAATGTGGGTACAGTAAGAAAGATGGGCACAATGAAGGAGAATCAGGAAGCTAGGGAGTCACTTTCCCGTTAATCAAGAAAAGTCATGAATACAAGAACGTGGCAGATCAAACCAGAATCTCTCTTGGTCCACAGGCGACATTACTATTTCTGTGCTAACAACTCAAAATAGTCCGAACTTAGAAGGCAAAAGGTACCAACTAATTGTCTAATGTATTCAATTTTCCGTCAGTCTATTTCTAACTGCAGTCAGAAAACCCAGGCTCCGTAGCATGCCCTGGGAGTATTATCAGGTCCATTCTATCATTATTCAGGAAGAGAGCCTCTCGAGAAACACTGCTTCTACTCTGGCTGGAAGGGACAATATAATACGTTTATCAGGAAAATGTGAGATTTTCTTCACCTTCTTCCAAAAGAGCTGAAACACATGCAAGCCTCTCTCCAAAGACTGTATCTATTCACCATTAGTTATAGACTAAGAGGGAAAATTTTGCTGGATTGGAAGAAAGTTGCTGCTGTTATCTGCAGGCATGCACACTGCCAATAAACAGAGTTGTGCCACAAAGGAAAATGTTACATTTTCCCGATAAAACATATATTGTCCCCTCCAGCCAGAGCAGAAGTAGCGTTTCCTGAGAGGCTCCCTTCTTGAATTTGTCTATTTTAGATGTCTTCTCCTTCATCATTTGAGGTGTCAGTTGTAACCGTTGTGAAACTACATCAGGATTGACACAAATACATTAAAACAGAAAAGTTGCTGAGAACAGTTTTATTTACATGGTCAAACAGTGAAGAATTAATGGTATAAAATCAATGCTTTCAGGGCTCCTGAGTGAAGCTGAATTAACATCATCCCCCAAACAAATTCCTTCCTCTTCTCGATAGTTACCATCCCATCATTTCCTAACACATCTGCTCCCCTGAGCTAAGGAGTTACATGTAGCATGCTGTTTCTCTGCAGATGCAGTAAAGAGGAATAAAGACTTACTAAGACATAATGACCCTCAGGTCCATGTTTATGCCCAGAGGACTCTGAAGGCTAGGCTCAGGGATTCTGAGTCATGCTTGGTCATAAGGATGCTCTCACTCACTATAAAGTTTTCTCCACATTACCAGGCAGGTTCGTTGCTCAGAGGCTTGAAGGTGAAACTAATCACTGTCTTTAAGAACCTGGTCTCATGCTGCAATTCTGCTCCAAGTGAGGGCTGGGAGAAGAAATATTAGAAAGGTAAGAATGCTTGGGCAGAAGTGTGAAGATACAGAGGAAAGAAGAAGGCAAATGAGGATAGAAGAGGCTAGGTTCTTCCACTTTTCTGAAGAATTATCCCAAGCACCATTACACCATCCTCTTCACAGAGGAACACAGCAGAGCATATGGGATTGGAACAGACATCCTTAGGTGAGGGCAGTGGTGCACCAATTAGTAATGCACCGAATTTCTATCTGTCTCTGTATCTCTGTATCTTTCTCTCTCTCTCCTATTCTCTCTCTCTCTCTCTCTCTCTCTCTCTCTCTCTCTCTCTCAGAATACACTGTTCACAGCCAGAACACCACAAATACAGTCATATAGTGTCAATAAGACAAAAGGATGTTATGGCAGACTTCATTTATATGTGCATGTTTAAGGTGGTGAGCAGGTGTCACTTATGTCAATATTCAAATAAAATTGCATGGGTATTAACACATTTGATCTGTACAGTTTTATTCTCTTTTTCCCACACTGTCTGAGTGAATTTAATGTTGCAAATTGTAACTTGGTTCCCTGTGTACTTACTACTTTATGGAACCATAGCCAAGCCATTTCTGTTGTAAGCACAATACCCTTGCTAAATCAGCCAGACTCAACCTTGAATGGCACCATTATGGAAGAGCCTGAATGAAGGTCTTTATCCACTTTATCGATTCATCAAGCTTGGGAAAGCTGTAAGAATAAAGGGATAAAATTGTTCCATTTCTAAATGAGCAGTATTGGGTCATATTTGTATCCATAAAAAATCTAGAGATAAATATTAATGTCTGACTCTGTGCCATTTCTTCACTTTGGTCTTTTCTGAGCCATCCCTTTTTTATCTAATCTTATGTCCAACTGTGACATAAATTAAACTTTTTACAATGAAATAACTTCTTTCTGCTAACAGGTGAATTATTTTTGCTATCTTAGATTAAATAAATAAAATATTTGGGAGAATTACTAAATAAGTAACTATAATTTGTTGAGGATATACTATGTACTAGCACCTATGCAAACAATGGTCTTATTTATCATTAAAATAAATCATATTAGTTATAATTTATCAACTCATGTCTACAGGAAAAAAAACTGATCTATCTAGTTAAAGAAGTTATCCAAAGGCCTCAAACTAGTAAGTGGTTTAGCAGATTTTCAAGCCATGTCTGAATAGTTTTAAGGTCCCTAGAAGACCTCTGTAATATTCTACTATAGTCAGGGAAAAAAACCCAGCAAAGAAAAAAAAATCACAAGTTCAAAATATGAACATTGGTGAGCACAAGAAGAGAGAAATTGCTAGTTACTATGAATTTGTCTTTTGAGATGGACTTAAGCGGGGATCTTTGCCAATGTACATATCTAAAACAGAATAAACTTAATACTTTGTCCTCAAAAAATGATCTTGAGGTTATTGGCCATACACTGTCTGCTACTGTGGCATACAGTTATAACAGGAAGAGGGCAAGAATTCAGGTAAAACTGTGAAAGGGTGGATCCCCTGGCAGCTTTGAATTGTAGTGTCAGTGAAGTGTCCCCTTTGCCATCTCCCTAAGAATGTTTTTTCTCAGCTGGCAAAGTACCATGTTGAGAAACAGCCACTCTTAAGACTGGGCTGACTCTGGATTGTAAATCTCACAGCACATCATCCTAGCTATGTCCTCACACTCTTCTAGGTGAAATCACAAAAACCACTGCCCTCTGATTTTTCAGCCTGGCATATTTTCCAAAATACAGTCAAACATTATGTTTCTATTTCAATTTTTCTCTCAGCTTCTCTGGGAAAAAGAGATGTTCTTCTTCTTCCCGTATAGAATGGGCAATTTATTAACCCCTTTGCCTGCATACTTCTGCTGTGCAATAGCTAACTGGCAAAGTTACAGGACAACTGGTATATGCAGCTGCACACATAGTGAAACATGATTTCTCTCTCTACTCCTATCTCTCCAACCTTCTCTCTTTCTCTCTCTCTCTCTGTCTGTCACACATACTTACACACAAACAAGAGCACGCTTATTACAAACCCCAACCCTGATTCAATTAAATGCTGAACAACTGGCAACCAACATTCATGTGGCAGTGTTGAGCATATTAAAATTATTACCACTGGTTCTCAGCTTTTAGTTGCAGCTATTCTCTTTGTAGAATTAAGGCCAGAACGTGCATAAACATTATACAATCCAGGTTACATTAGTTACTACAGAGTTGTACAATGTCTTTAAGGTCACAAAGCTAAAATAAGGCAAATTCTCAAGAAGGCAATGAAGATTCCTTAAAAACATTTTAATTTCAATATTAAAATTTGCTAAATATTTGATCTTTTTACACCTGAAGCTAGGCACAATTTGGGGACATGGAAATTTTTTTATGTTACTCATTGATGTTACAGATTGTAAGGAAGATAAACATAATTTGGCAGATATACACAAAGCATTTTATTTCTATTTATTGGAAAAACTGTATTGTTCATGAAGATTTAGAAGCATCAAAAATAGCAATTAATCCATAATAGAAATACACTGAACAATTTAGCTGAGTTAGAACCAGGAAAATTCTAACAGAGACTATCTGATTATCTTATGTGATGTCACTGTATAAGATCCATGAGACATATCTTTATGCTAATATTATAACAAAACACAGGAAGTGGTAGACAATAGTAGTTCTCTTTTGTACTAGGAATCTTTCTCACTTATAGAAATTAGTAAGGGCTGGGCGTGGTGGCTCACACCTGTAATCCCAGCACTTTGGGAGGCCGAGGCGGGTGGATCATGAGGTCAAGAGATCAAGACCATCCTGGTCAACATGGTGAAACCCTGTCTCTACTAAAAATACAAAAAATTAGCTGGGCATGGTGGCACATGCCTGTAATCCCAGCTACTAGGGAGGCTGAGGCAGGAGAATTGCCTGAACCCAGGAGGCGGAGGTTGCAGTGAGCTGAGATTGTGCCATTGCACTCCAGCCTGAGTAACAAGGGCAAAACTCCATCTCAAAAAAAAGAAATTAGTAAGATACCAAAAGAGTTTTAGTTTCTATGATTATATTTGTAATATATTATTAGACATTAGAGCAAAATTTAAATAATGTTAAAATAATATTAAACTATTATATAAAAACATAATTTGATACTTTTTGTTAAAATAACTTTTTTAAAAAGCTAGTTGTAAACTTTGCATTATTTTCCTTTGTAACTGTTTTTACTAAGTTAATAGAGCTGAAAAATCTCATAACATCATTTATAATTTTATTTAATCTATTATGGTAACACCCCATATAACCTCTGGAAAATGTCACTGTGTACTTATAAGGGAATGAAAGTGAGAATGGCTAAAAATTTTCTATTATTATAAAAATAGTTTTGAGCTTGTAAGTACCAGAAATGTACTCAGAAAACCCCAGAGACCTCAAGACCACACTTTGAAGAACACATGGTATGGTGATTTCCCCAAAAGTAAAGAAGGACTACTTAGGAAAGTAACAGAAGGGAATGGCATAATATAAATATGCATTGCATTGTGAAATATTTCCAGTTCATTGCAATATCTCAAAGATTAAAAAAATAAAGCCATGAGCAATATTGCCTATGATGGATCTCAGAACAATAATCTGTGTTAAGAGGCTTTCTCAATTACCCTCTAGAAAGAAGTGAATCTCTAATGTTTGTAAATTAACCACCTATACCATTACCTCCAGCACACTGATAAGAGTCTTTCTATTTCTACAGGACTTTGACAAGAGATGACCTTAAAGGAAGTGAGATCCTTCTTAGCTAGGAATTCAGTAACACTTGCCAGGAGAATGCATCCTATCAATGACACCCAGTTCTATCCCCACTTCTTCTTCCTGCTAGGAATACCAGGACTGGAAACTTTGCACATCTGGATTGCTTTCCCATTCTGTATCGTGTACCTGATTGCCATTGTGGGGAATATGACCATTCTTTTTGTGGTCAAAACTGAACACAGTCTACACCAGCCCATGTTCTACTTCCTGGCCATGTTGTCTATGATTGATCTCGGTCTGTCCACATCCACCATCCCCAAAATGCTAGGAATCTTCTGGTTCAACCTCCAAGAGATCAGCTTTTGGGGCTGCCTTCTTCAGATGTTCTTTATTCACATGCTTACAGGCATGGAGACTGTTCTGTTGGTGGTCATGGCTTATGACCACTTTGTTGCCATCTGCAACCCTCTCCAGTACACCATGATCCTCACCAATAAAACCATCAGTATCCTAGCTTCTGTGGTTGTTGGAAGAAATTTAGTTCTTGTAACTCCATTTGTGTTTCTCATTCTGCGTCTGCCATTCTGTGGGCATAACATCATACCTCACACATACTGCGAGCACATGGGTCTGGCCCGGTTGGCCTGTGCACCTATCAAGATCAACATAATCTATGGGCTCATGGTGATTTCTTATATTATTGTGGATGTTATCCTGATTGCCTCTTCCTACATATTTATCCTTCGAGCTGTTTTTCACCTTCCCTCTCAAGATGCCCGACTAAAGGCCTTCAACACCTGTGGTTCTCATGTCTGTGTTATGCTGTGCTTTTACACACCAGCATTTTTTTCTTTTATGACACATCGTTTTGGCCAAAACATTCCCCGCTATATCCATATTCTTTTGGCTAACCTTTATGTGGTTGTCCCACCTGCCCTTAACCCTGTCATTTATGGAGTCAGGACCAAGCAAATCCGAGAGCAGGTTGTGAAAATATTTGTACAGAAAGAATAACTCTGTGATAAAGTTTGGATAAATATATCTATATACAACCCAAATAATCATCATCTGAGCTCCATTTTTAACCTTCTGTAATGGTCATGTTTGTCAGATTTTTTCATTTTGACTAGAAGTGGTTTAGTGTTGACAGATAACGCAAAGCTACCTTTGCTGACCATTTCTCCCACTTCCCTCCATGTACTTGGAAAAAAGCTATATATATATATATATACACACACACACACACACACACACACATATATATATATATCTCCTATTAGTTCAGTCCCTCTAACACACACACACACACACATATATATATATATATATATATATATATATATATATATATATATATATCTCCTATTTAGTTCAGTCCCTCTAACAAAAACCCTGACTAACACTTTTTCTTTTATGTTCTTTCTCTAATAAACTTAATGTTTGTGACTTTAGGAATATGAGACAGTACAGTGTGGATATTACAGAGACATGTTTTCTCACTTGAAGCAACGTCATTTCAGATGTGACAACTTGTATGTGTCTCATATCTAATTCTAACTGAATTCTGACAATTTCCTTTCAGATAAAATGTATAAAACTTATGAGACTTCATAAAGCCTATAAAAACAATTAGGCTTATGCTATGGTAAGCACAGGGCCAGACTTGACATCAACCTCAAAATAATCTCATTATAATCTATTAGTTCTGTAGATTTCCAATGCTTAGTCCCATTTTCAAACTCCAGATATGGCCAGAGAATGTGGTTTGCTTTAAAATCGATAAAAGAGACACTGAACTGAAATTTGTGACTTATCATGGTACTCATGCTTCCAAAGCAGAAGTCTCCCTCATGTTTTATAATTTAGAACCACTGTATGGTTTAGATGACAATATACAAAGTACTCAAAAGTACACAGATAACAAGTTTAGGAAACGGGCGTGGATATAGCCAAGTAGACAAGGAAAGCAACATCACCTATTCAATATCTGTGAATCTGGACAGTTCTTGGTCTTAAACCTAACACTGGCTAGGCACAATTCCTGAATTGTATAGTATTTTGTGTATTTTCTTTAGGTCTGTGTGCATAGGCTACAATTTGATTTTTACAGCTTTTACTTCATGTATCTAAAGTTATTGGGAACACAGAGTTTTAAAGGTGGAAATATATTGAAACTTGATCTATTCCCTTTGTCTTACAAATAAAAAAAACCCTGAGGTCTAAAGAAAGCTGGTATTTGTGTGCATAAAGTACACCCATCTTTAGCATCATCTTCATGTAACAAGTGAAGGAAGATCACTCAGATAAATCCTTTTGACTACAAATTCTTAACTCTTGCAGGAGATTTAAGTAAGGAATATTTTATGTATATATGAGAGGTTTCACCATGGGTCCCACGTGGAGATTTAGTAAAATGGGAAGTAGAAGGAGGGGCTTAGTGTTGGTAACAAGAAGAGGGAGACTGCAGAAACTGCAGGTTCATGTAGTATAGTAATAAGAGTAGCTGAAATCAGCACAGTCTTCATCTCTGTGGTCCACAGTACTGAGTGGTAAGCACAGACCAGCATCCAGGCCATCAACAGCTGTACCAGATATAAACATGCTAAATAAAGACAAAGTTTTTTCTTCTCTCAGTGATCTGAAAGGATCTGAGACATGTATAAAGCAACTTCCTGGTTAAATATATTGATAGCGTGGAAACAAATTAATATAAGCAAAATAGTATCCACAGTATAGATGGGAGTGTACCATAATGCTGGCCCTGAAATGGCTCATAATCAAACTGCAACACAACACTTAGGGCTCAGCAGAGTCGCTGTACTGGGATCTCTCAGGGGACCTCTGTTCTTTGGATTAGCTTCCTCAACCAGCTGAGAACAGCAATGTGCTGAGATGAGGTGCACTGACCCTGGACAAACACATATGCCCATAATTCTCCTATTCAAAGAATTATATGACTCTCTTCATCCTGTACTCACCAGCTTGTGAAGTCAGCCATTTGTCCTAAGGAACTCTGTGATTCATGTCTATCAAGTTGTCCTGGAAGTCCATGGCTGGGACCTGGTTTCAGAAGAGTGGGTTGGTGAACAGAAAAAATCACTCTGGACAATAGTTTTCTTTCATGAAGTCAACCCAGATGGGACCAGAAGGGTGTTGCCATGTTGATTTGAGGTGATTCTCACTCACATCAAACACGGGATAAACAAATTCAGGACTCTGTTCTACCAATATTTCACTGCTGAACCTTGGTCTTGAGACATGTGTTAGGGATATACACTACCTCTCACCCATCTGTGTTTAAACCCTCATGCTGCCCTCTAGCTACAATACCCACTGGCAGTGGCTGGCAGTGGAAGCTGCAGACATCCTTTATCTTATTACACTGGCAATGACATCCTAAGTGATCATCCCATCCTCTCTGCAGGCTCTACACTACCTGTCAGGCATTCCCACAGAAGGGGCTACACCTACATACTCTGAAACCTTTTGAGACTGTAGCTCTGCAATGCCCCCAGGCACTTTCAATCTATGTCCTGTTTTATCTCCAACTGATACAGCAATATTACACTCTCCCATCGGTGTTAAATAACTGTAGATGAGGTATGGGCTTTCCTTGCATGAATGATATATTCTTCCTCTGTGCACATGTGCTTCACTCATAATCCAAACTGGTATCATCACTGTATGACAGAAAGCCAGTATAGTCAGCAATGAAAGAGATCACCTTCTGGAAATGCATTGATTAGGGTCTAAATAATTAAAATGATTAGAACATAATGTCGTTCTACATTTATACAATAAAGTTCCAAACAATAAATTTAACAAGAACAGAAAAAAAATATCATTCGCATTTTCAAGAATGCACAGATTAAGCCTGGTATTTGTGATCATCTCTAACGAAGCAGAAAATGTGTGTGTGTGTGTGTGTGTATGTGTGTGTGTGTATTTCAGAAAGTCATTGAAGACATTTTGCATGGGTAACCCAACAAAGTAATGATGCAATTAGCATTAAATAATTGCAACGTGGAAATACAAGAGGCAAGAAGATATATCTTGTTCTGAAAATCCATGGCATTGTTGATAATAATAATTTTGATACCTTCTGTTTGTGACAGCAGAAATTAAATGGCCAGAAATAGCCTGTTGTGACAGTAAAAAAATATGGATTGTCCATAGAACTGAACAGAAAGAGAAGTTGCCTGGACACAATTAAGAATCTTTATATGCAGCAACTGGACGACAACCAAATATACAATTAATGCTTTATCCATAATAATAAACCTTCATTGATAAATTACCATACCGTATATTACACAGGTCAGTGAACTTTTTAATACATATCTTTTTCAAATTGTCCACAGAGTTTGTTTCAATTGTTCATACCCCACAGTGGTCCCAGGCACCACACATCCTACAGGAGATCCTGCATACATTTTTGCATTTGGCCTCTGCTTGTCCAGTTTATACCTTTTCACTTTACTCCTGTGGTCTGTGTCAAAATATTACTGCCTTGGACCTGGAGCATGGCCCTAATGTTCTGGGAATAATTGGTTTGCAGTTTAAGTAATGGTTTGTATACAAAGCTATGCATACATGTATGTGTACACACTTGCTTATGCTTATTTGATAAATATGGCATGAATTTGTCAGTGTATGAGAATATTAAATGCATCTACACACAGGCTTAATAACAAACATATATAATATGATTAGAAGAAAAAAGACACAAAAGATAAATATAATTGAGGAAATGGTGACAAAAGACATGTCAACCTGAAATAATATATAGGATGAGAATCCAGTTTAAGTGTTTATTCAAGTGCAAAGCTAAGGATGGCCATCTGGGAAACACAGAATCCAAAGAAATGAGGTCAATGCCCCTAAGTTGAAAAGTTAAGGTTTTACTTATATAGGCAGAAAACAAAGAAATTTGGCAGAATTAGATTTTCCAATACAAAGTTGATTTATGAGTTACAGCAAATTGATTAATTATAGCTTGTTTTCTTTTTCCAGTTTAAATTAGTATTTTTAACATTTCATCTTTGGCAATATAATAGTCATAAGGTCTTTGTTTAAGACAAGGAAAAAGGAAGTTAATCAATAATGAAGATCTAAAGTAAAGAGGGAAAGGATCTTATCTGGTAGTCTTTTACAACATTCTGTAAAACAATGTAGATAGGTGGGCCGGTGCAGTGGCTCACGCCTGTAATCCCAGCCCTTTGGGAGGCAGAGGAAAAATCACCTAAGGTCAGGAGTTGACACCAGCATGGCGAACATAGTGTAATCCCATCTCTACTAAAAATGCAAAAATTAGCTGGGCGTGGAGGCAGGCCCCTGTAATCCCAGCTGCTTGGGAGGCTGAGGCAGGAAAATTGCTTGATCCTGGGAGGTGGAGGTTGCAGTGAGTTGAGGTCATTCCACTGGACTCCAGCCTGGGCAATGGAGCAAGACTCCATTTCAAAAACAAAACAATGTAGGTAATGGAAAAAAAGCTAATTTAATTTATAATCAGGGAAACAAATACTACAACTTCCTAGGTTACAGCTACCTGTTAGTGACTCAGGTCCCATAATCACAGCCTTTTAAGGATCAGAATAATTTAAAGTTTCAACAGCTTTGATCTTGAATTATTTATTTTCACTAAAAAAGACATCAATGGGCATTTGGGTTGATTCCAGGTCTTTGCTATTGTAAACAGTGCTGCAATGAACATTCGTGTACATGTGTTCTTACAGTAGAACAATTTATAGTCTTTTGGATATATACCCAGTAATGGGATTGCTGGGTCAAATGGAATTTCTATTTCTAAGGCCTTGAGGAATCTCAACCCAAATGCCCATTGATAATAGACTGGATTGGAAAAATGTGGCACATATACACCATGGAATATTATGCAGCAATCAGAAATGATGAGTTTGTGTCATTTGTAGGGACATGGATGAATATGGAGAACGTCATTCTCAGCAAACTGACACAAGAACAGAAAATGAAATGCCGCATATTCTCACTCATAGGCGGGTGATGAAAAATGAGAACACATGGACACAGAAAGGGGAGTCTATTGGGGGGAAAAGGGGAGGGCCAGTGGGAGGGGGAGGTGGGGAGGGATAGCCTGGGGAGAAATACCAAATGTGGGTGAAGGGGAGAAGGAAAGAAAAGCACACTGCCATGTGTGTTCCTACGCAACTGTCTTGCATGCTCTGCTCATGTACCCCAAAACCTAAAATCCAATAAAAAATTTAAAAAAAAAGACATCAATGCCAAGTTAACTATAGTCTACTGATATTGAATATTCGAAGGCAATGCCATTTTCCATAAATCTTGCTCACCCTGTCAAACAATCCTTCTCATTGGGAACCCTTTATGTATCACAGGGTATTTTACAGAATATAGAAACCAGTCTAGTTCATAGACTATTATGGGATATTAAGTGTGAGACTATTAGTGCTGTTCATCTCTAACTTTGTGTTACCCACAACCACTTTGGGAACAGACATAATTGAGTGTAACTTAAAATAACTTCCATGAGGTTTAATTCAGATACAGTATCTTCTCGAATATGTTCCAGCATTGGTCCATTCAATTGCTTATTGATCCATAACTCCTACATCAGTCAGAGCCTTGCTATATTACCCTGGTTTCCCAAAAAGCTTACAAAAATTCCAGATGTCTACAGACTTTTCTATTTTTCTGGTGCTAAGTTTGAAGAAAATTTTCAACAGTTTTCCATAGTCATTTTGCCACTTTACACTCCTCCCAATGGCTTGACATTCTCACAACAGTTGGTATTATCAGTCATTTGAATTTAGCTACTCAAGTGAGTAAAAAGCATTATCACATTGCAATTTTAATTTTTATTACTCTTAATAACTAATAATGATTTAGAGTGTATTTTCAGTTCTTATGGGCCATTTGAAAATATTTGTTTGTGAAGTATGTATTATTCTTTTCCAACAACTACAAAATTAGCTACTTTGAGGTACGTGAATGTAGTTCAAAAGCCTTAAGAAATTAGAATTCAAAGATAAAACTGCCTATGACAATATAAACAATAAGACCAGTAAATTTATATATACTTATATATGTTTTTATATATTCACCTATATATGTAAATATACAGATGATCTTTGATTTACAATGGTTCATTTGAAAAATTTTTTGACTTTAGTATAGTTTGAAAGTATATGCATTCAATAATTTCCTTGACTTACAATGGAAACAAAGCCAAGATCAACCCCTGGTAAGGGGATAATGTCTATAATACTATTGTTATTATTAACAATATCATGTATCTTGAGGACAATCTAGATCTTCTGACCTCTTGCATTTCCAAATTCCATTTATTTCATGCTAATTGCACCATTACTTTAGATGCTGAATTATTCCTTGTCCTGCTCATGCATAATGCCTTCAAAATATTGAAAAATATTTTCAATGGATTTGTTTATTAATTTTAATTTTTATGGATACATAGTAGGTGTATATATTTATAGAGTACATGAGATGTTTTGATACAAGCATGCAATGTGTAATAACCACATCCTAATCCAGCAATCCCATTGCTGGGTATATATCAAAAAGAAAGAAAAGCAATATATAGAAGAGATATGAGCACTCTTGTGTTTGTTGCACCACTGTTTACAATAGCTAAGATCTGGAAGCAGCCTAAGTGTCCATCAACAGATGAATGAAATGTGGTACATATATACAATAAAATACTATTCAGTCATAAAATATTTTCAAATTACAATGGGTTTATTGCAGTATAACCCCATTGTAAGTTAAGGAGAATCTATATATATCATATATTACATATTATTACATGTGATAAAAGTAAGTTTAAATAAAATAATCTATAGGAAAATCTAAGGCTGCTTATTGGCAATATTAGTCAAGGTTCTAGAAAAAATAGCAAGCTCAAGCTGGCCTCTTAAACTATAGGCACAGTTTAGAAAATCCGCAAGGGACAATAAGGATAGTAAGTGTGGGAATGTTTATTCTGGGGCCCAAGGAGGAGAAAAAGTTCCTGGCATCTGGAGGGCCAGAGAACCTTGTGGATAAACCTACCTGTCAGGACTTGCAATTTATTTCTAGGTACTCACAGAGCCCATGGTGACCTGCAGGTCACCTGCAATGAAGGAGCAGGTGGGAACCACAGTGAATATCTTGCCCTCACTCTCTTCCTCCTCACCTCCTGATGCCTTCCATTTTCTGAACCCAAACAGATTCTACAGGCCAAAGAGGCTATCGATGCAGTACATAGTCATGAATCGCTTAGGACACAGAGTATAGAATGCACCTGGAGAGGGAGAAAAAAGAACTCTAGCACATTGACCCACATAAACAAAGAGCTGGAGGAAAATTCTGAACAAACACGTGAAGGCCAGTATTTTTATATATTCTCCTTTCAATTACTACTCTGTGCTATTTATTTGAGAATTATATTTGTAGTATTAGATACTTTCTCTCCTTTTTGTTCTCAGAGTCCTCTTAGAATCGTTTTGAATTTTTTGTATTTTTTTAGACAGCACAAGAATTATAATGTTAATTAAAAAAAATAATTTGGACTAACACAGTGTGAAATCTAACCTAGTATGTTTGCACTGAGAATTGAAATGAGAATAAAAAGTAATGGAATAATCACCAGGCATATTCTTAATTTTCTCATAATTTTAGACTATTCTCTCTCTAAGGCCAAAAGTAAAATGAAAGAAGATTTTATATGCTAGGGGTATTCTTTTATATGGTTTATAAGATTCATAGGTATTAAGGAAAATTTTGGGCTTTCCAAAGCTTTATTAATATTATAATTCAGAAAGATCAATATAATACATAGTAAGATATATCAAATTTTATAGGAAATATTATAGTCAAGAAAAGTTACTGACTTTTTATCCTTTACACTCTTTTTTTATAAAATAAATCAAAGCTCCCTGAAGAGATGATTTTGAACATGAAGCTATACAAATAGATATACAAAAAATATCTTGAAAACTTACATTTAGCACAATAGATCACATGTTCAAGAAATGTAGTTGATTTGATTATCACATATTCATAATGCTCAAATGGCACTTGCAGAATTAGCCTATATTTAATGAGCATCAAATTATTATGTTGTCTAATTCATATCAGAAGCTCAAAAGTAGGTTGAATCAAGGAACATTGGCTTGATGAGCATTACTGACATCTAGTGGTAAAACTGAATACATTTTTTTAAGTTAAAAATTATTTTCTTTTTTTTTTTTTTTTTTTGGAATTTCAACTCTTAGATTTAGGGGCTTCGTGTGTGGGTTTGTTACATGGGTATATTGTGTGATTCTGGAGTTTGTAGTATGAATGATCCCATCACCCACGGATAAGGTTAGGCTCTGTCTTCCCACCCAAATCTCATCTTGAATTGTAGTCTGCATAATCGCACACCTTGAGGTTGAGACCTGTTGGGAGGTGATTGGATCACGGGGATGGATTCCCCCATGTTGTTCTTGTGATAGTAGTTATCATGAGAACTGATGGTTTTATAAGTGTTTGACAGCTCACCCTACACACGCCTTCTCTTTCTCATCTGCTGCCATGTAAGATGTGCCTCTTTCCCTTCCACCATGATTGTCAGTTTCCTGAGGCTTTCCCAGCCACGAGGAATTATGAGTCAATTAAACCTCTTTCCTTTATAAATTGCCCAGCCTCGGATATTTATTTATGGCAAAGTGAAAATGAACTAACATACCGAGGTAGTAAGCATATTACCCTACAGGTAGTTTTCACCCCTTGTCCTAGGCCCTCTCCTCCACCTTTAGTAGTCCCCAGTGTCTACTGTTCCCAACGTGATGTCCATGTGTACCAATAAATACATTTCCTGAACAAATAAATTACAATCTTTTAAGTGAACAACCTAATGAAATAGAAAGGTAAATAACTTTTTCTACTGAATATTTATTTACATTATTGAATACCAAAAATTCTACTTGAAATAAGGAATGGAAATAATGTCCATTTAATGATATTTAGACATATTGTCAAACATTTTTCTGTTCTAGTCAAATGCACTATCTCACTTACCCTGAAAAACAATGTGTGAAATGTGTTTTGTCATTTTCATCACCCTTGTGAATCTATAAGAAGTAACAAGAAGCTCATGGAGGTTAAGAAATGTTTTCCCACCTATAGAATCTAAGAAAAAAAATTTAAATATAAGTTGCCTAACTTCAAAGTGTTAACTCCAAAGGTAATATTGTAAAAGATTTTGAAAATCATAGCTAATGTTAATATATTAATTAATTTCTAACAAATAAGTCTAGAGCACCTTCCAGGCATTATCTTATTATACTGTTACAATACTGATATAATTTTTTTTCTCATTTTCCATTTGAGAAAATCAAGGCTTAGAATGGCAAATGTACTTGACCAAGATCACAGAACAAATTAGTGAATCAAAAGTTCATGTTCTTAATCTGTATGTTAAACTGCTTTTCTTTCTATATATACATTCTTATATTTCTATTAATTAATTTTATATATAGTGTTAGAGGCATCACACACTCACAGAAATCATTCTTGTAACACATATAGCTCATGGATTGGAAACTGAAATTAGAATTCTATCCCTGCCATTTATTAATGTACATATATTTCACAGCTGACTTTAAGGTGATTCTGGGTTCCTTCTTACAGTGCTCTTTTTCTGCTTCTCTGTCAAGAGTAACTCATCATCTGACACTACAGTTAGATTTAAGGTGTTGGTATGAGGCCATTATGCCTCTGACTGACTAGACCCCTGGAACCTGTACAGGGAGTGTACCCACTAGAGAATGCACAGATCATCAGCAAGTAGAAGGTGCCTCTGACCAGACAACCTAGAGCTCTATCCTTAGGGATAGGGAAATTTTCTGTTCTCTCTCCAGGTCCAGGGACACAGCCCACACTTTAGGGAAGCCTTCCCAGGGGACAAGAATTCTCATATAACTCCTTGGCTCTAAATAGTATGAACTATGTCACATGCAGGTTGCAGTCTGGGGTATCCGGTCCTTCACAAACGATTTTTCAGATGCTGGGCAGAGGTAGGTGAGTCAGCTTCTGGTTAAGCTGAAAGAGGCTCCTTAATGACAGTAACTAAAGTGATTTGTGGGATGGTGGAGCTCCAGTGACTTGGCCAGAATCTCTGTAGATAGGGGCATCTTCTAAGGAAAGTAGCAAGAAAAAGAGATAGCAGTTAAGAAAAATCCAAATTCATAGCTGCAGTCAAGAACAGACTATTAAGGGCATGACAAAGGAAAAAAGGAGTAAACTTTTTTTCAAAGAGGATTCTGAGGGTTAAAGAAAAAGAGAAGAAGTGTTTTAAAATCCAAAAAAGAAAAGCATTTCAACAAGATGAGAAGGATGTTAACAGATCACTCCCTGGTTATAGCTATGTGATCTGCTTTTCAAGACCTATGCACCTATGACCAGTTGCTAGGAATCTCAGATACTGAGAACTCAAATTTGCGCCCCTCCCTGGGATTGCCCTCAGATCCAAGAAACTGCCTCATCCAAGGTCACGTCGCATCACACGTGTGTGGCCCATGGCCAAAAACTAGATAACATAGAAATTTTTTAAAAATGGCTTACTTGCCTTACAGTGGAACAACTTAGAGGTTGTACCATCTCCAGAGCTTCATATCATTTGAGGCCTCAGATATAACCACAGGATAAAGAAGTTTGTCTTTTGATCCAATCCTACCTTACTGACTTCTTTAGAAGTATATTTTTCCAGAGCTTTTCTCAAAATTATTTCTGCCCATCACTTTCTATCTCAGATATGTTTTTATGAATTCCATCTAAAATACTATATAAAACAATAGGGAAGATTATTATTGGCACTCAACTTTCAACAGCCATTTGTGGTTCCCGACATTTAAAAAAAATCATGTTATCATGGAGATAAATATAACACTAGTTTTGCCTTCAAAGAAAAGAAATTATAACCTAGTGGTAGATACCTACCAGTGGTTCTCAAATTGGAATGAGGAACAGAATCATCTGGAGGGCTTTTTAACAGATTACTAGACCCCTCCTCAAGAGCTTCTGATTAAGGTGCTCTCAGTTAGTGTCCAAGAAACATCATTCATAACAAGTTACCAGGTGACACTGAGGATATTGCTCCAAGAAACTCATTTTGAAAACTGGTGATACCTAACATAACAGAAAGATAGATAGGCCTTTGGAAAAAATAAAGAATAAATAATCTTGAAATAAGGAGATTAAGGAAGGCTCTGTCGATTGTATGTTAATAAATCTAGGCTATGTGCTATTGTGGTGACTAAAGCTAGACAGGAAAGTCTCACAAGAGGAAATATGGAAAAGGACATGGAGAAGAAAGAATGCAGAAACTTCGAACTGCAGGGTGGAGATGATAACACTGTAAAAATAGGTTAAAATTAATGTCTCAGATTCTTTACTGAATTTATGAAATAATGACTTTTTGATAAGGATATGGAGCACTATTGAAATTTTATTCTTATAGCTCCAGGGTCGGTGCACGTTTTCTATAAAAAGAAAGACAGTTAATATTTTAAATTTTTCCAGCCATGAGATCTCAGTCACAACTCCTCAGATCTTCCATTGTAGATTAAAAGCAGCAATAGATGATATATAAGTGAATGAGAATAATTTTGTCCCAATAAGTTGGTTTTACCAAAACAAGTGATGGACCAGATTTGGCCCATGGTTGTAGTTTGTGTTCCCCAAAAATGCTTATGATAACCTGATTTCAAAAGTTATTTTAATTGTGCAATCAATAAAAAGAAAAGACTATTTTAGACTTTGAGTCTAGAAATGTTTTACTTCACTGACAAGTGAACCACTACACATTTTTTCAATTGTTGCATTTAGTTATGAAAAGATTGCTAAGGTCATGCTGAATTAAATTGCTCTGACAATATTAGTAAGCAAATTCAAACTCCTATACCAAAATTACTTTAAGTGAACAATACAATTCTCCAAAGCTAATATTTTAGAAAATAAAGTTCTTGTAAAAAGTACTGTCTTAAAGTTAAAAATAATAGCCATTGGATTTGAGATTGCATATTGCAAAAGACTACCTGGATTTATAGTCACAGGAAACAGTGAAAATAAAAATCAAACAAAAATTTTGTTTCTTCTGCTGATTTTTCTCTATTGCACTCTTAATTCTACCAAATTTAGGTATTCCTTATTCCTCCTTACTTTACTGACAGATTAAATATTTAGCTCTGTAATTTTTCTGCCAATAAAATTCTCTATAGTTTATTCATTAATACAATTAATTATATTGTAATAGATAACTTCTATTTTTTAATCTTTATAAATAGCCATGAATAAATTTAATGTTTTAAGCTAATCATTGTATTCCACCATTGGGGGATGATCATCTTACTGGCATTTATGGTTGATCCCTGCAGAAGCATTACATTGGAAGAAACACAAAAATTGAAAAACCAAGTAGAACAATTTGGTAATACCACATGAACAGTGTTAGCAGATGTGCATCAGTGAAAATAAAAATAGGCCAGGTGTGGTGGTTCATCCCTGCCATCCCAGCACTTCGAGAGGCCAAGGCGGCAGATCACTTGAGATCAGGAGTTCAAGATCAGCCTGACCAACATGGTGAAATCCTGTCTCTGCTAAAAATATAAAAATTAGCCAGGTGTGGTGGTGGGCACCTGTAATCCCAGCTACTTGGGAAAGTGAGGCAAGAAAATCACTTGAGCCCAAGTGGCAGAAGTTGCAGTGAGCCAATATCATGCCAGTGTACTCCAGCCTGGACAACAGAGCGAGACTCTAGCTCAAAAAAAAAAAAAAAAAGGAAGAAAAAAAAAGAAAAGAAATATAGAAAAATAAATTAAAATGTAGGTAGAAATACAAATATATAGAAAATTTTTAAACAGAACTCGGTATAATAATCAGAGAAAGAGAAATAATTTGAATGAAAAGTTATTCAAAGTTTTCAAATCTTTGTAACTGGAAAGATGTTACATCTTAATAGATATATAAAATATATTGTATGAGAAATAAGGATTTAAAGGCAGCAAGTGGCAAGTGCAATAAAAAGAGAAGGTCTGGAGAAATTTTCTTCTTCTCCCTATTGAAAGTAATAATAATGATGATTATTACAGTTATTTAAAACCTATTTGGAAAGGAATCACACCACATGTCTATAACTTCTAATTTTCAGAACAGTCCCTAGGTGATGTGGTGGTCATGTGATTAATATTATAACCCCCAGCTTACATATAAAAAATTACTAATAACAGTAGCTATTGAGTAAGATATAATTACTAACTCCCTGGCCTGAATCTCATTTGCTTCCTTTGTAAATGGGGACAGAAGTGCCAATTTCAGACCTGTTTTCATCTTTAAATAAAATCATATTTCTAAAGCACTTAAAAGTACCTGGCACCTGAATGTCAACTAGTCTTTTTTCCCCCTAACATAAAGTTAGTTACTTCATTCCTTTTAGTAAAAGACAGAATGGGCAGGGGATAGAGGTGAATAGAAAGGTAAAGCTAATTTGTGGTCAGTAGTGGGTAAAAGGTATTGATACTGACCTTTCTGTATTTTAAACATCACTTTTTTATTTTTATACACTCAGGGGGGTATATGTTCAAGTTTGTTACCTGGGCATATTGTGTAATGCTGGGCTTAGGCCATTAGTGAACTCATCACCCAAATAGTGAAAATTGCACCAAAAAGGTAGTTTTTCATCTCTTACCTTTCTACCTCCCTCCCCCTTTCATAGTCTCTAGGGTCTATGGTTTTCATATTTATGTCCATGTGTACCCACTGTTTAACTCCCACTTATAAGTGAGAAAATGAATTATTTGTTTTTTTGTTTCTGCACAAATTCACTTAGAATAATGGCCTCCAGCTGCATTCATATTGCTGCAAGGGACATTACTCTTTGTTATGGCTGTGTATTATTCTATGATATATATGTACCACATTTTATTTACCCAATCTACCATTGTTGCACACTTAGGTTGATTTCATGACTTTCCTATTATGAATTGTGCTGTGATAAACAAATCAGTGTAGGTGTATTTTTGACCAATCTATTTTCCTTTGGGTATATATCCAATATCGGGATTCCTGAAATTAATGATAGTTCCATCTTTAGTTATTTGAGAAATTTTCATATTGTTTTTTATAGAGTTTGAGCTAATTTACATTCCCAACAGTGTGTAAGTGTTCCTTTTTCTCCACATCCTCACCAACATCTGTTATTTTCTGACTTCTCAATAATAATCATTCTGACTTGTATGAGATGGTATCTCATTGTGTTTTTGATTTTGCTGTTGTTTGTCTGTCTGTTCATTTTTAAGACAGTGTCTCACTCTGTCACCCTGTCTGGAGTGAAGTAGCACAGTCATGGCTCACTGTGGTCTCCACCTCCCACTTCTCACCTCAGCCTCTGAGTAGCTGGGACCACAGGCACACATCATCACACCCAGCTAATTTTGTGTGTGTGTGACGTCTCCCTGTGCTTCCCAGGCTAATCTGTAACTCCTGGACTCAAGTTATCCCCTCACCTCATCCTCCTAAAATGCTGGGATTATAGGCATAAGCCACTACACCTGGCCTCATTGTGGTTTTAATTTATATTTTTCTGAACTGTTTTTAAAAGCTTGTTAGCTGCTTGTGTGTCTTTTTTCTGTTCCAGAAATGTTTTTTCAACCTTTGCCCAAGCATGTTTTAATTGGTTTGTTTGGTTTTTGCTTGTTTAATTGTTTAAGTTTCTTATTGATTCTTGATATTAGTCTCTGTCAGATGCATAGTTTACAAATATTTTCTCCCATTCTGTAGGTTGTCTGTTTACTCTGCTGTTTAATTTGGCTGTGCAGAAGCTTTTTAGTGCAATTAAATCCCATTTGTTCATTTTTGTTTTCATTTTCATTGCATCTGCTTTTGAATTCTCAATCATAAATTTTTTGCCTCGGCCAATGTCCAGAAAAGATTTTCCTAGGTCTTCTAAGAGTTTTATAGCTTGAGGTCTCATATTCAAGTCTTCAATCCATCTTAATTTTTGCATACAGTAAGAAGTAGAGGTCCAGTTTTATTCTTCTACATATGGCTAGCCAGTTTCCCTGGCACATTTGCTGTATAAGATGTCATTTCCCAGTTGTTCGTTTTTGTTGACTTCACCAAAGATCAGTTGGTTGTAGGTGTGTGGCTTTATTTCTAGGTTCTCTATTCTGTTTCATTGATTTTGTATCATTTTTACAATAGTGCCATACTGTTTTTGTTACTGCAGCCTTGTAGTATAATTTGAAGTTGGGTAGTGGGATGCATTTGACTTTGTTCTTTTTGCTTAATATTGCTCTATTTGGGCTCTTTTTTGGTTCCATATGAATTTTAAAATAGTTTTTTCTAATTTGAAATAAATAACTCTGGTAATGTCATAGGAATTTCATTGAATCTGCAGATTGCTTTGGGAAGTATGGTCATTTTACTGATACTGATTCTTCCAATCTATGAGCATAAAATGTCTTTCCATTAGTTTGTATAATCTGTGATTTCTTTCATTAATGTTTTTAGTTCTCTTTGTAGAGATCTTTTGCCTCCTTGGTTAAATGTATTTCTACATATTTTATTTTTGTGTGGCTATTTTAAATTGAATTGAGTTCTTGATTTGGTTTTCAGCTTGAAGAATATTGGTTTATAGAAATGCTACTGATCTCTGAATGTTGACTTTGTGATACTGACTTTTCTATGATCAGATCTCATGGGAAGAAAAAGATGATTAATACAACTCACAAAATGATCATATCATAAAGTATCTTCCCTCCCTTTAGCAGAATTATGACTTATCTTGGAAAGCAATTCCACACCATAAAATGGACACAATCTGGGAATATATAAACCCAAATACACATACCACTATACTTCCAAAGCGGTTCTTTCGGCCTGCGCTGTAGCCAAGTCACAGGGATATTTTTTCTTTAAGTTAGTAACACCATATTAGAACTCATTGCACTCAAATGAGCATCAAAGCAACTTGACTCATGGCACTGCTATGGATATGGCACTGCCCAAATCTAACATACCCATCACTGAATGTATTCCATCTATGACCCAGAGTCTGCCACAGAATATATCCTGCAGCAAAAAAGTTTCTAATCACGTCCTAGTCTTATTTGCGCACACCCAAGCACCCCACAGGCCTATTATGTTGCAGATTGCATCCATGACTCAGGGCCAGTTACAACCCAAACTCAACCACAAGACACATCAGACAGATTCATTGTGACAGTAAACTAGCCTGCTGCCAACTTAGACCTATTACTGTCCATCAGTATGTCAGGGAAATTATTATAGCATTAACACAAACTAGACTGTCCCCAATCTGAGGCAAGTATCTGACCTCAGTAGCTTTTTAAAAGGTAGAAACAATGCCACTGCCACTATCTAGGTGCCATTATGAAGCAATTGTCCATTTATATAATGCAAAATGGAGAAGACAGAAAAGAAGATCATAAATTACAAGAGGCTCTGAAAAGTATCTGAGAGCAACCAGTGTTTTCTATTCAGGAAAGGAAACATAATTTAACATAGTGAGTGAAGGGTCTTTGAAGTTCTAAGAGGGAGCATTGTTTTTCTGGAATTATGCAGTAGTGTCCCTATGCATCTAAATTTTAAAAGTTTATTTTTTCAGATCCAAAAACCAGGTAACCAATCCTCCACCTTTACAGAGTCTCCTCTCACATAGAATATTCTTAATTTCTCAGATCCACTTTGCAAGAATGTATCATTTCTCTCATCATTTCCTCCTTAATCTCAGTCCAGTGGCATTTTACACACACACACACACAAACACACACACTTCGTCTTGGCTACTCTTTAAATCCTGATTAACAAGTATAATTAGCAACAAATATATGTTAATTTAATGCCATATGGAAGGTTTTTCTTAGAGACTGAAGGGATGAAAGACATGGGAAGTGCAAGATTGCTGCATTTTGGAAATTTTCTGCATGGTTTTCTGTGTAGGTGAGGCAAATATTTAAAAGTGAGATTGTCTTTTTAACTGTATTTCATATTCCCTCTGTAGGTCTCTTCTGCTGTATTATGAAGTTAAAGAATAGATTTTTTGTTTCTCCAAGAAATAGGCAACATGCTATGAAAGAAGTTACGGTTTCTCACTGGAAGCAAGAAAACTCCTGCAAAAAATGCGTCTGTAGGGAATGGCCACCAATACGCTTCATACCAACAATACACAGTTCCACCCTTCCACCTTCCTCCTAGTGGGGGTCCCAGGGCTGGAAGATGTGCATGTATGGATTGGCTTCCCCTTCTTTGCAGTGTATCTAATAGCGCTTCTAGGGAACATCACTATCCTGTTTGTGATACAGACTGAACGGAGCCTCCACCAACCCATGTTTTACTTTCTAGCCATGTTGGCCTGTACTGATCTGGGCTTGTCTACAGCAACCATTCCCAAGATGCTGGGTATTTTCTGGTTTAATCTTAGAGAGATTGCATTTGGTGCCTGCATCACACAGATGTATGCCATTCATATATGCACTGGTCTGGAGTCTGTGGTACTGACAGTCATGGCCATAGATCGCTATATTGCCATCTGCAACCCCCTGAGATATAGCATGATCCTTACCAACAAGGTAATAGCCATTCTGGGCATAGTCATCATTGTCAGGACTTTGGTGTTTGTGACTCCATTCATATTTCTCATCCTGAGATTGCCTTTCTGTGGTGTCCGGATTATCCCTCATACCTATTGTGAACACATGGGCTTGGCAAAGTTAGCTTGTGCCAGTATTAGAGTTAATGTTATATATGGATTGATTGCTTTCTCAGTGGGATACATTGACGTTTCTGTGATTGGATTTTCCTATGTCCAAATCCTCCAAGCTGTCTTCCATCTCCCATCCTGGAATGCCCGGCTTAAGGCACTCAGCACATGTGGCTCTCATGTCTGTGTCATGTTGGCTTTCTACCTGCCAGCCCTCTTTTCCTTCATGTCACACCGCTTTGGCCACAACATCCCTCGTTACATCCACATACTTTTGGCCAATTTGTATGTGGTTTTCCCCCCTGCTCTTAACCCTGTTATCTATGGGGTCAAGACAAGACAGATAAGAGAACAGGTACTTAGGATGCTTAAACCTAAAAGCTTTTGATATTTGGCCCCCAAGAGGATCTTTCACAATTTAATTAGACAATAATGAGATCATAACCCAAGTAAATACTGGAAACATTTTTTTTTACTACTCCTGTTGCATTCCCACATACAATGTCTCATGATTTCAGTACAGTCCATTGGAAGGTATAGCTCAAAGATTCCAAAACAATCTCTACATTTCACCCATTAAAACTACAAGAAGTATTCAAATTTAAACCCCATGATACTACAAAATGCCAAAAGAGAGAGAAAAGTTTTGTAAAATGTGTTGCCCAGTAATTGTCTTGAATAGCCTTTCCGTGTGACGATTCTCTTCATTTACATATCTGAAGCTGGATTTCATGACAGTTAAAATGATGTGGAATTTCATCAAAACCAATCAAGATACAGTGGCAAGAGTAATTAGGAATCATAAGATCCAGATTTAAATACAGGTTATGGCTTCTCCTGAAATTTTGACCTGAGCATTTCACCTAGAGCTCTTTGAGTTCATGGTATCAAATTCATACTGATTTATAGCATTTTATGAGCAGGGATATTGAAGCTTAAAGAGAATGTTGTAAAACTCTGTGCAGCTTGTAAAATATTAAAAGATTTGGAAACAAAGTGAGTGCTTACAAAACATAATTATAGTGTGACTGTTATTTCTAATGTATGTAGATTTCATTTACTAAATGCACTTCTAGTCCCTGGTTTGAAGTCAGCTCTCCAGATCCAGATTATCCCAATGCATGGGGCTCTTCATGGACCTCTCGGCTCATACCTTCTTGAAAGAGACTTTCAGTTAGGAGACTATAAAGTCGGAAGAGTTAACAGGGATCTATCTTGGGCTTAAGGACTCAGGGAAAGCCCATCCTCCACAGTCTTTGCTAGAGTGGGTTTTAGGGCAGACAGATAGTGTGGCTGCTGAAATAATATAAAGTCATTCACAGTAAGATATAGAAGATAAATAAAACAATACTTCTTTGGGTATTCTAGGAGCTGCAAAAATGTGAAGTTGGCTGCTAATTGGAAATGGAGCCCTGATTGAAACTCAAGGTAGAGTTATCAGAAATGTACAGAGAATAGTGCAAAGGTAATGAAGATATAAACTGAGACAAGTGGAAGCAAACTGAAGTGATACTTCATATAAATACATCAAGCAAAAGTAACCAAGTGATCATTTTCTAAGTAGAGAAATTGACACAGAATTAAGAAAAAAACTAAACAAATCATTTAACACGGAATAAAGATGACAAAAAATCTGAGTAAAATACCACTTTTCAATTATAGTTTAATGTATTATTATTAAATATTTTAAATATGAAAATCTCATTTAGAGTCTGAATATTTGCATTTGTATATATAAAGGCTTTAATATGTTCAATTTTGTTCACTCTACCCAAAATATGTTTAACCTTCAGGCCAATTAATTTTGGTATCATACATTAAGAACCTCTACTATTGAAGAGTTTTCCTCCATCATTTCTGAGACTTTGCTCTTTATTATTTTAAAATTCCAAGGCCGCCGAAAGCTAGGTCTTTACACACAGTTACTACATTTGCTAGCTAAATATTTTCATCAGGGACAACTGGTGAAAATGTTGACCTCCACTGACCTAAGCCTGTCAATTGTTACTATCGCTAAGATACTTAGTGTCATCTAGTTCAACTTCAGGGAAATAGTTTTTGTTGCCTTCCCTGTCTATGTACAGATGTTTATGATTTATCTATGCACTGGCCTGGAATCTGAGGTACTGATAATCCTGGCTGTAGACCACTATGTTGTCTGACAACAAAGCAAGAATCTGTCTCAAAAAAAAAGACTTGAATGTAAAACCTAAAACTTTAAAAACCAAGAAGAAAGCCTAGGAAATACCATTCTGTACAAAGTCTCTGTCAATGACTGCATAACTAAGACCTCCCAAAGTAAGGACAGCAAAAATAGGGAAGTGTGTCCTAATTAAACTAAAGAGCCTTTACACAGTAGAAGAAACTGTCAACAGAGTAAACAAATAACCTACAGAATGGGAGAAAATACTTGCAAACTAGGCACCGAACAAAGATCTAATATGTAGAATCTATAAGGAACTTAAATCAACAAGAAACAAAACCAACTAAAAATCAGCAATGTACATGAACAGACATTTCTCAAACAAAGACATGAGCATGGCTAACAAGCATATGGAAAATTGCTTAACATCACTAATCATTAGAAAAATGCAAATCAAAACCACAGTGAGATACTACCTTATACCAGACAGATGGCTATTACCAAAAAGCCAAAAAATAACAGATGCTGGTAAGGTTGGAGAGAAAAGGGAACAATTCTACACTGCTAGTATATATGTAAATTAGTTCAGCCACTATGAGAAGCAGTTTGGAGATTTGTCAAAGAACGTTTAGGACTACCGTCTGACTCAGCAACCCCATTACTGAGCATATACCCAAAGGAATATAAATCATCCTACCAAAAAGACACATGCACTCATATGTTCATTCCAGCACTATTCACAGTAGCAAAGACGTGGAATCAACCTAGGTGTCCATCAGCAGTGGACAGGATAAAGAAAAAGTGGTACATATACACCATGGAACACTACACAGCCATAGAAAAGAACAAAATCAGCAGGCACAGTGGCTCATGCCTGTAATCCCAGCACTTTGGGAGAACAAGACAGGCAGATTCCTTGAGCTCAGAAGTCTGAAATCAGCCTGACCTACAGGGTAAAACCTTCTCTACAAAAAATACAAAAATTAGCCCAGCATGACAGTTTGCATCTGTAGGACCAGCTATTTGTGGGGCAGGAAGCAGGAGGATCACTTAAGCTTGGACGCTAAAGGCTTCAGTGAGCCATGTTTGTACCACTGCACTCCAACCTAGGTAAGAAAATGAGATCCTGTCTTGAAAAAAAGGAAAAGAAAAAAAAATGAATGAAATTATTTCCTTGGCAGCAACATAGACACTGCTGTTGAACTAGTGCATTATCTTAAGTGATTAATGCAGGAACAGAAAACCAAATATCACATCTTCTTACTTATAAGTGGGAGCTAAACGCTAAGTACAAATGGACACAAAGAAAGGAACAATAGACATGGGAGCTGACCTGAGGGTGGGCGGTGGGAGGAGGGTCAGGATCGAAAAACTCTCTCTTGTTATGCTGACTACCAGGGTGATGAAATAATCTGTATAACAAACACCAACAACATGCGATTTATCCATGTATCAAACTGTACATGTACCCCCTGAATAAAAAAAGTTGGAAGGGAAAGAAAAGAAAAGAAACAAAAAAGAAAGGCCTTGAAGAAACTGATGATGCTTGTTCCCATTACTTGAGGACTATGAATAATTCACATGAGGCTCATAATGAAAATTTAAACGAAAAGAAAATCTCATAATTCTTAACTAAAATCCAGTTGTGTATAAATGTCATTTTAAAATCTCTCATTACAACAAAAATTATTATGGGACTTTCCTCTCCAAATATCACATTGCATTTCCTCTGTAAGATTTTATTTGGTTTTCTCAAGTATTACTATCATTATAATGCCATGATAAAAGTTATGATGTTAATACAAGTCCATTCAGCAGCATGGTTTGAGCTGTACTTATTTAACATGTGCGTGCAAGAAACCTACAAAAATTTCTGAGTTTGCTTATTGGTTCCATGAAAGATGCTACTGAGTGTGCACAGGCAAATGAGTGTGAATACATACAGATGTGTACGGAAGAGCCTTGTACCCAGGAGACTGACTTACTACCTACAGGACATGCAGTCAGCGTGTGGCTGGGTTGCCCGGAGTCCTTTCTTTCAGAGAGAAAGAAATTCCTTTCTTCTACTTTAAGCCTGTCTGTCTGTCCCAGGAGAGACTTTTAGTCCCAAAAGAGGAAGGATTGATAAGTTCACAAAGGGCAGAATTCTTGAAATGCTAGAGTTATAACTGCCTCAGATACTTATGGAACTAACCAGACTTCATTATCAGTGAAGTAAGAGCCCATCATGCTTTACATTTTTTGTGAGTCTGGGCAGAGGGTGCTAAGGGTGGCTATAAGATTAGCCAGAATACCGGAGAGAACTATGTCTTCAATTCGTATCTGTGCTTTTATCCATTTGTGGGTCAGTACTACTGAAGTAGTCTGAAAAGAGAGTAAGTAGAGGCTGCATCCTGTCTCAGGTCAGGACGCATATATGCTCTGAAAACTTCTCTCTTTTGTCCTCCTCTGGGTGTTTGGTGGTACCAGAAATGCAGAGAAACTGGTTTGTCCATAGAATATTAATAGGTGATAGGAAAGCTAGAAAGTGCATCATCTTGAGCCCTGTTAAGAAAATTTGGAGTTTTTAATTGTGAATATGGAAATTTAGGAGCCTTAGGAGAAAACATATGCCTACAAATGCTTGAATTATTCAGGAGGAACTAAATGTAGTTTGTGTAACTATAGAGGTTGGGGACAAAGACCATAGTTGGGGACCAACAACAGTCAGGAAGTAGTTCAACATATTTCTGCTCATATAAAGAATTTCTAAAAGCGGATTTATTGGTCGAGGACTCAAGATGGCGCTGTGAGAACAACCCAGGATTGGAGCTCTTCTCGTTGAATCCGCAAATGGTGAGTCAGAGCAGCATTTCCAGACTGATCTTTGTTGCCCACAGAACGGGGAAACTCCCAAGTATAAAAAAGACATGGGACACCAGGCAGTAGGTCTGCCTGGTGAAGCCGGCAGCCGGGGCGGCGGCGGCCGGCCCTACCCAGCAATCCCCACAGGGCGCGCTTGTCCGGGTGCCCTGTTGAACCGGCAACCTGAGACTTGAGAGGGCTGGACTTGAGACTGAATGAGACTTGGACAGTAGGCCAGCCCAGGGGATTGCAGGGATTGGGATACCCAGTGGGACGAACAAAACCGCGATTTCAAACTATCCCGAGCAGACGGTCGGAGATGCTCTGTGGGGGAGGGGCGTCCACCACTACCGAGGCAACCCGCCCCAACTGAGATACACGCCCACTACTGACGCAGCCAGCCGTTGCCGAGGCAACCCGCCCCAACTGAGATACACGCCCACTGCTGACGCAGCCAGCCATTGCCGAGGCAACCCGCCCCAACTGAGATACACGCCCATTGCTGACGCAGCCAGCCGATGCCGAGGTAACCCGTCCCTACTGAGATACATGCCCACTGCTGACGCAGCCTGCCGTTGCTGAGGCAACATGCTACAACGAAGAGACTCCGCCGCAGGGCGTGGCGGAGACCACAGCAGAGCCAGCAGGAACAGCGCGAATCACACAACAGCAGGGCGGAGCCTCGGCAGCCAAACAGTGGCTAGTCTGCCTTTTAGCTGGGAAGGACACCTGATCAGACATCCAAAAATAAAGCCCAAACCCCTCAACACAGAGCATTTGAGAAAAAAAAAAAAAAGGGTTTTTTAATGAGCTCTGTTGCAGCAGAATAAAACATAGCAGCCTAACAGCCCTGAATGAACAACAGAGTGCACAGCTCAGCAATTAAACCCCTATAAAGTACAAACTGTCTCCTCAAGCAGCTCCCTGACCCCTCTATATCCAAAAGACTGACATTAGGCAGGCATCATCCTGGGACAAAGAGAGCAGAAAAAGAAACTGGTAGCATCCC